TTGAAGTATGCATTTGTATTTGTAAAGAACATGAGCTGTTTTTATCTGCCTGACATCCAGTTCTCTTTCTAGTAAAAACACACTAAGGTTCATTTGGGATACTTCTCCCCCTCCATTCACATACGGTGTGGGGTGACCTGGGAACCCAGCCGGGGGTCAATGACAATACTGCACCTCGCTATCCAAGGAGCTTATTTCTTGGGGAACCAAGACCAAAACTAATCCAAAGTCACCTATGTGTTTCAGTGGATATAATCCCGGAAATTACTGTGAACCATTGGGAAAGATCTGTAATCCTTTCCCTGGAGTTGCTCATCTGGTATGAACCAAGACCAAAACTAATCCAAAGTCACCTATGTGTTTCAGTGGATATAATCCCAGAAATTACTGTGAACCATTGGGAAAGATCTGTAATCCTTTCCCTGGAGTTGCTCATCTGGTAAGGGCTTAACTCTGGAGTCTGCAGACCAATTCTGACTCTGGGGAGACCTCACCTGTAAACAAAGCCACGACACAAGAACGTAGGCCTCAGAGGTAGAGACATAGTTCTTCCTCTGTTATTGACAAACCTCTTTCCAGACTTGCATTAATACTCTGCTCCTTCAAATTGGGATTATCTTACTCTCAACTGAAATATTTATGAAAAATATAGTATTACTAGTCTTATTTTGCATATGGTGATACAACCATGAAGCCGTAGAGCTATTTTTAATCAAATACCCTCCAACTCTAAGTCCAGTTCTCTTGTCTCTGTGCTGGCTGCTGCTTCTCTAATTCTGGGACATTGTTACAGAAATTATCTTGACTGTAATAATTCTGTCCTTATCTTTCATTGATAGGTACCTTAATACCAAAGGGTGAAAATCTGAAACACAGGATGCTCAATGGGATCTTCAAATATAGTAAAAATATCTTTGGTATTACAAGGTGAGGATAAAATTCTTATAATAAAATTCAAGAAAAGACTGGTTGTTTTTTATCTATAATAGCAAGCAAACCTGAGAGCAAGTCCCATTCTAGTAACAGTGCTTTCAGACCTACATGCCAACATATCTCTAAACACTCCTGCTTTTAAGGCATGCTAATCTTATACAAGATCAGCAGGTTTCTTTGTTGAGTGGTCGTGCACTCCAAGTTGTAATTCCTTGCTTGGCAAGCAATGCATTAATTTAGAACTTAGATATTGAGTGGTGGCCTCTTCCTTCCAACAGTGCGAAAGAATGTTCACATTTCACATACTCTAGAAATTTTGACAATTGACAAGGCTTAGCAACTGTAATGCAAAATAAAATGCATGCATCTTCAGATGACCAAATATTGACGTCAGACATTCCTCTTGAGTTACTAGAAAACTCACCTGTCATAAAGGAGATGGAAGAGACTTTATTCATTATCTGTTGGGTTGTATTGGTGACAGGTGTATATGCAATAGAAAATACAGATTCATTAAACGAATCTACCCGTCCCAGGTCCATGGTAGGCAATGAAGAAAAATCATTAACTTGATGATTATGAGGATATAGGTACAAAAAAAGTAGTAGGACCAATGAGTTCAACCATTCCTACATAATCCAAGAGAAAAGATAAAGAAAATTATGATTTCAGATTAGTCATTCATCATCATTTTGTCATAAAGTTTGTCTCTTTAATTTTTAATTTCAATATATCATATATTATGAACTGCTTAAAATACATACAGTACAAATTCATCAATCTGAGTAATTTTAATGAACTATTAATGGGAATTTAAATTTACTGAGCCTCAGTGCCAGTGCTAAAGCATGCACTGATCATGAAAAAATATATGATGCAACAGTTGCAAGCTGTTTTAAATTATCAGCTGGTGGTGGTGGAGATATACAAAGTTTAGATATCCTGGTGACCCACTCATGCTGTATTTGATTCTGCTGAATATCTGCATGTTATAAAAGACAGTTGCAAGACATTGCTCACTTAGTAATAATATATTAGTTACATGTCAAGATTCTGGAACTGGAAACTCAACAGAATGCCAGCGACCTGAAGGACACTGTCTTGGTTAGTTAGTTATAAATCCTGGTCATTTGCAAACTCCCAATAAGAAATCACTTTATTTCCAAAATGCAAGGTCTTAGGAAAATACTCATGATGTATATACAGTAGCATTCCAATTTAGTTAGAAATGCTACCTAAGCTATATCTTCTGATTTTAAAAAGATACCAAAGTTTAACCAGGATTTTTGTTATGTGATAAGATCTTAAGAGCTAATGTTAATTTTATTCTTGGCACTTAATACATTTCCAACTTTTCTATTATTTTTGAAGAAAATAAATTGTTTTTTAAAAGAGAAAGAGACCCCAAAGAGAAAATGCTAGTTACCTGTTTCTTTTTTTTTCTTTTTGTCTTTTTTCGTGTCCGGCAACGGATCGCAACCCTCAGTGTCACTCCCGTACCGGACCGGGACTGGTAACGGGATCGCAACCCTCGGTGCTGCGCCCGCACCTCGCTCAGCCAGTGAGTGGGAACCGGTCTGTATGTGGGATCTGAACCCTTGGCGGGAGCGCCACTGCGCTCCCAAGCAGCGCACTGTAGCAGTGCGCCACCGGGCTGGCCCCTAGTTACCTGTTTCTGTGGGTTGATTTGTTTCGTCTGTCTTTGCAATACCAGTATCTTAACCCTAGCATCTATGAGTGGAAACATTAGTAGAAGGTACTGGCTTTTAAAACATTTTTTTGACTTCTTAATTGCTGACCTACTTCAGGGCTTTTAGTGTCTGTCTTTGCAATACCAGTATCTTAACCCTAGCATCTATGAGTGGAAACATTAGTAGACGGTACTGGCTTTTAAAACATTTTTTTGACTTCTTAATTGCTGACCTACTTCAGGGCTTTTAGACCTCAATTTATGGGCCTATGTCATTTGAAATGTCTTCAAACAGATTCATGGTCTGAGGAACATGTATGAAGGTGCTTTATTTCACTGCTTTTGGTGGTGGTAGAGGTATTCGAAGCATAGATATCTCCCAGGTAATACACATTTTCTATCATAAATACAAAGTGACATAGACATTGAATCATACCATTAAGGATTCTCTTCTCATTCTCCATTTTTTAAGAAAGTTCTTGCATAATAAGGCACAAGTTTGTTGACACACACTTATCTCTCTCTTACCCATCCTGCCCTGTTTAATGAGAGAGAAAGGGAGAAGATGCTGTTAATATGAAATTCTTAATAAGAAGAAATATCATACAAACAAAAAAGAGTAGCCTAATAACTCCAGTGTTCGAAACACGTACTTAGAATCTGAGTGTTCCCAAGTGAGCATTTTATTACTTCCCTGTTCCCTTTCTTTCTACACTACTAGACTCTTTGCTTCATCATTTATTTGTAATCCACTGTGCCAAATATCGATTTCTTGCCTCTTAGCCTCTCAGCTCAAAATTTATCCTTCATAGCCTGCTGTAAGAAAATTGATCCGGTCCCTTTAAGTATTTTTGTTTTTTGTTTTCCACCTGGCATGATGCTAAGTTTTGCTGAGGACTGAAGGGAGATTCTGGAAGAAGAGGCTCTCCTTATGGGTATCCGAGTGGTTTATACCAAGTTTCTACAGAATGTATTTTTTCCTTACTGCTCAGACTAAGTGGTTTCCTCCAGTGCAAAATTCCTGGAGGGTGTAGGTTTCACTGTGTGTTTTCTCTACCTCTTGATGTAGGAGCAGTGGTGTATCTGGGAGCCTCAGACAGCTGAATCCCTTTACCCAGAGCTTTGTTTCCTTTGGTTAACCTATTGCAAAGGCAGCACACTCCAGTCCTTGTGCCTATAGTTTGCCATTAAGGATTCTCTGCCATTCATGCATGCACATCTTATCCAAGTTTTCAACATATTATCTTCCCATACAAGTTTGTTCTTCCTTGGATATTCTCTCTCAGCCCTAAGATATCCTTTTGATCTCTCAGTCCATCTTTATAGTTATTTTCCTACCAATATTTAATAATTATCTGTATTAAATTTTCCTTATTTAGTTTGTGTAGTTTCAGTCTCCTGCTTGCACCTAGATCAACATGTGCACACGTGTGCACAGACACACACACCCACACACAGATCTCTCTTAGCTTCAATAAATACATCCTTGTACACCCGTCTTAACATCTCTATAATATTTACCTTGTTTCAGAACCTGAATAAGTAATCAATTTTGGGAACTGATCTAAGACAATTGAATGGGATGTTTGTTATATCTAGCAGAAGTCATTGCTTTGTATACTAATTTGTTGTGAAATGACTACAAAATTTTCTTTTCCCAGTGAAAGGAAACTTAATTTTCACTTTCCTTCTATGAAAAATTAGAAAGTTGAGATAGAGGGCCGAGCCTGTGGCGCACTGGCTCCCGCTGCGGGTTCGGATCCTATATGGGGATGGCCGGTGCGCTCACTGGCTGAGCGTGGTGGGAGCAACACCAAGCCAAGAGCTGCGACCCCCTTACTGGTCACAAAAAGGACAAAAAAAAAAAAAAAAAAAAGTTGAGATAGAAAAGTCACCAGAGTTTCTCTAAGTTTTTTTTCTGAGCACGAAGATACACTCTGTTCACAATGACACACAGTGTAGATTGCTTTCTAGCCAATGGAATAGGAGCAGAAAAAATATGTGCAATTTCTCAGTCATAATCTTAAACAATAGGTATTTCTCTTTATGCCCTCTTTTCCCTTCTGCTAGCTGGATGATTTAGGAAACAGCAGGACCAAAAGATGGATGGAACCCAGTTTCCTAACTCCTCATGGGAGGAAAACCAATCATTGACCAGAAGCAGATGTCTTAGATGGTTTAATGAGCAAGAAATCGTATTCTATTCTATTTGAGCCACTGAATTATTTTGGTTAGGTTTATTGTCACAGCTTAATTTATATTAATCAGTACACTCTTCTGAATAAATCTTGGGAACGTTTTGGCAAGTTCCATAATGAATAAAGATCTAATTGCAATTGCAATTAATTTTATTAATTTATTTGGGAAAAATTGACATTTTTGTGGTATTGAGTTTTCTTCTACATGGACATTATTTGTTTCAGTTACTATTTCATATGCTCTAATAATAGTTCCTTTTTTTGAGTTTCTACAAAAGTCTCACTGAATAGTTATATTGGAATTATTCACAAAGTATAGCTCATGACTATAATTTTGGTGTATTACTTTTGTGCATTGGTAATTACTGATTTGTAGAAATGCTGTTGATTTTGTATATTAGTCTTGTATCTAAAAACATCAATGAATTCCCTAATCAGTACGACGTTTAAAAAATAAATTCTCCTGTATTGTAATAAAGACAATCATATCATCTCAAAATAACCCTTTCATCTATTACATCCTTTCTTGTCCTAGAGCATAGGGTAAGATCATTGTGCAAATTGAAAAGGTATCTTTGTCATCTTCCTGATTTGAGAATACATTTTTCATACATAAAATTTTCACCATTAGAAGTGACATTCTTTATGTGTTTTTGTAGATAGTCTTTATTAGGATAAATGTCAACCACTGTTCTACTTTCCTAAAGTTTTGATTCATGGATAAATTTTGCATTTTAATAGATACTTTCCCATATCCTTTTATATTATATCTGGTATAATCTGCTAATGTGCAAATTAGATTGGTATATTCTCTCATGTTTTCCAGCAAATATTATAATTTGCCATAAGGTATTTTTTTTTAATACTACTGAACTGAATTTTCCAGTATTTTACTTGGAATTGTTTATAATAATAAATTACAGCAAACTATAATTTAATTTTTAATCCACTGTCCTTGTCTAATTTTAGCCTCAGTGTTATGCTAGCCTCACTATGGGTAGCAATTGCTCTTTAAAAGTCTCCAGTACTGATCATAACACATAGGGTGGTCTGATGATAGAAAGCTAGTAAACTTGCTCATAAAATGTTGTGAACGTGATGCCTTTGGGATGAGGATGGGCTAGATTGCTATTGTTGATTCAATTAATTAATTAATTGATAGTGATTGGTTTATCCAGATTATCTATTTTACTTTGATGCAATTTGGGTAATCTTCCCTGCAAAAGTATCTGTTATGTTTATACATAAAGATGTGATTAATTCAAAATATGTATAATATAACTGAAAATACTTTAAAACACTTCAATACTTTTAAAATTATAATATATGTGTGCATTTTTTTCTTTTTAGCGTTCTTTCTATTTTTATTGATTAGTCTTGCTAGAATGTTGAATTTATTAAGTCTTTTTTTAAAAAAAAGCAGTGTTACTGTTTCATCATTTTAATTGTTCATTAGGTTTCCTATTTTATTACTTTCTACTCTTACTTTATTATGGTTTTATTTAGACTATTTTGGGGATGTTTGCTTTGCTGCTTTCTGTCAGCTTCTTGGCTTAAATGGTTGACTAGCGTCAGCACAGTGGTGGAGAACACGAACTCTGGAACTGGACAGGTTATCACATGTAGTCACTTGATGGCAGTTGTGCCCCAACTCTTCATCTCCGCTTGTGTCCACACCCTTTCTCTGGCAACTTTGGAGTTCCTCCGATAAAGACAGACTATTACTCTGACCAGTAGAAGCAGGTGACAGTAATCATGTGCCAGTTCTGAGCCTAGACCGTGGGAGGCCTTGAGTGTTAGATATAAAGTACTTAGGAATGCCCTTTTTAGCTTCCACTGAAAGACTCCAAAAGTTTCTTTGTATTTAGTGACTTTTTATTCTTGATTCCTAAGAATTACATTGCAATCGGAGAACCAACTTCTCAGTAAGTTATTGCTTCTTTGAAATTCCTTAAGACTTCTTTCATGGTGCAGCATATTTAAATATTTGGAAATGTTCCATGTGTGCTCGAAATACATATAAATCAGCTTTTAGGTTAAGTGTTTATGTATCTATTCAATCTTTTTAATTGTGTTTTTCAAATCTTCAACATCCTTTCTAGTGTCGTATTTACTAGATAAATCATTTCACAATAGAGTTACACTGAAAATTTTTACCCTAATAATAGGTTTGGCAATTTTTTATTATATGTTAGTTTTTAGCATATGCATTTAAAGTTTAAGTGGTTAGGTGCATAAATATTGCTTTATTCGTGTTTCAATGGTCGGTTGCTTCTATTTCTAATAATAGCGAAGAGACACTAAGTTTTTTAGGACAATATTTGTCTAATATGTATGTATCTGGTTATTTTTAACCTTTTGCTGAATTTTTAAAATATTTGATTAATGTATGGAAAATTCATAGCTGATTTATGTTTAGAATTCTATACTAATAGATAACTATATTTTTAAGAAGTAAATTAAATCATGTATACATTTTGTTTGAGATGATCTGTCCTGTTAAACCTGCTTCTAGTTTTGTCTCTATCCTTACTTTATATAGAATTGACAAAGTTTTCTTCCTCTCCCTGTCCCAAAGATATAGAAGGTATTTATATTTCTTTAACAGTTATTCTTAAATTTTGGACTTTCCTAGGAAACTATAACTTATTTTATGAAAATAACATAATTTACTATCTTTATTCTCTTTTTACAAACAAATGCCTTCCAGATACTTTAACTCTGCTGAATTCCAACCTGATCATCCTGGTTATTATTGTATAGAAATGTGTTTCATTTTTTAATTTAAAGTACATGCAAAGTAGGTTTATTTTTATCACCAATCATTAATTAGGTTTGCCAATGAATTATTCAGGTTTCTGTGGAGAGGCGGTGATATATTTGTGCTTGTGCTTGAGGTGGGGAGTAGAAACTCCACCTGAACTGGGCTTGGACAGGGTTCAGCTAGATTAAAAACCCAGGACTCTCTGTCCTGTGTGTAGGCTAGTCCACTGTGAAAACGTACTAAGGACTTTACCTAAAATTGCCTGCAGAGAGCAGTATTATTCTTCCGTAGATATTGCATCAGCAACCAGAGAGCAGAGTACAGCAGCGGACCACCCCTTTTCCCTAGTAGAACCAGCATATCGCGGTTTTAGCACATGCAACCTTGAACAAAAAGCCTGTGTGTTTGTGTGTGTGCGTTTATGTGTGTGAGTGTGAGTGTGTGTGTGGGGGGAGAGGAGTTTAGTAGGGGAATTTATACATACATTTTTTTGCAGCAGAGATGCAAAATATCTCTCAGAAGGAGATGCCTCTGTGCCTAATAATAAAGCTACCTCCTTCCATGGCCCCA